GTGAAGGTGACTCGCCTCGGAGTAAGACTCCCAGCTCTGTCCTCCACGCCCGCGGGAAGATACTATTTTTCTTTTTCAGTTGGCCTTTTATTTCCTCCTCCTCTCCTCGCTCTCCCGAGGAAACGAGTGGAAGGAACCTGAGAGGTTTCTCAAAGTTTCCCCAGGTCGGAAAAGAACCCGTGGAATTGCACGCGTCGTTCTCCCCAAACCTAACCCAGGGTCCCAGTCCTAACCCCAGGTCACCTGGGGTTGACAAAAATCTGGGACTGGTATGAACTGAAAAGGGAGAGGGACGTCCTGGCCTTAACCGCGCCTGTGTTGATGCTCAGAGACATCCAGAAAAGTGCTCACTTTGCTGTGGGGATCTAGTACTTATGTCAACAGATGGAACAAAAGACCTGCAAAGTGCTTTGCAAACAAATAACTAAAAGATGCCCACAATATGTATGCAAAACATAGGTGCTTAGTGTGTGCGCCTACCTTGCCTTGGGTGCTCTGTCTCTATACATGAAATATGTGAAGTTATGTGCACATGACTCACAAAATACATACTACAGTTACCACTGTAAATGCCACTAGTGTCAGCGGTAAACTCGTAACTTTTCTGTTTTCAATGAAATAAAAGGTTAAGGAAATGAAAGTAGAATTAAGTATTTTGGAAAAGAAGGAAAGCCATCAGTTATCCTTTATGTTCTCAATAGAGATGCAGAGAAAATCATGTGTTGTAAAATGATTAGCTCAATGCCTAGAGGTGTGCCTATTGAATCACTGGCATCTTTAAGTGAGCAAGTACAATTTTAAGAGAAGATAGTTGAAGACCCTGAGCAGTTTGTCTTTGGGACCTATGGGTGGAGGACTGAAGTTTTAACCAAGCTATTACAACTTGATTTTAAATAATTCCATCTGACACAGTGCTTCAAAGGGGCAATCATTTTGAAGAAATGATCATTTGAGGAAATAATCATTTTATATTCACAGATTTGTCAGAAAACAGGTTGCTTAAAGCTGGCACCCAGAATCAACAGCATGTAGAATGAAGAGTTGCTCCTCTCCATAATCTAATACTTTTCCAACTGACATTTAGTCTGATTGTAGGATCCCTAGGGAAGAAAAGTTTTCTTTTTAACCCTGTCAGTCTCTTTTCACTATGCCTCTCCTTCTCCAGAGAATTAGGTTGTGTTACAATTTGCACCAGGAAACCGTATTTTGGCCCAGAACTGCCAGTCTCTCCTTACCTTCCTAGACAAAAGGTAATCGGTGGGCACAAGCCTGAAGTTATCTTAAGAAATTGAGATCCCCCTGCGCGCTCCCATTTCTGCTGATCTCACACTTTCCCATGAACAGGGGCTTCCTTTAAATGTCACCGAGGTCAGTTTATCCTATAAATCAAGGGCAAACTCTCTCCGACTAAAGCTCCAACCAGCTCCGAATAAGACAAAACTGAGCTCTTAGAAAGATCTTGTAAATTCCCAGTCAGAAAACAAAAAGATGAGAAATCAGGGCTATGCTTTAATTATTTAAAAAGATAATTGTGCCAATGTGGTGGCAACCGAGAAAGGCAGGAAATCATTAAAGGAACTATTTCCCCCTTTCCTATTTAATTTTTCCTCTTCTCTTTTAAAACTTTTTTGCTGAGAAATTAAGGAGGTAGGCTCTTTATCTCTGCAGTATTTTAATTCTGCATCTAGGGCATTTTGACTTTCTGTCTCCCTACTGAGAAAGAAGTTAACGCTTGTTTTTTGTTTTGTTTTGTTTTGTTCTGTTCAATTTTAACAATGCAGTAAAAGAAAACAAACTCGGGTCTCCTGCGGAAGCCCGAATGGGCAGGAGGGCTCCGGGAATCGTTCTTAGCAAGCAGAGAAGACACTCGAGACATTGCAAGGTCCAGGGTGAGAAACGAAAGGAACAGTAGGGTGGCACCTCTGAAAACGTGCAGGGACTAGACCTCCATTCGCATTCCCGGGGACTGGTGGACCCTAAAGGGGAAGCGGTAGGCACGGGGAAAACGGGAAAGAACCGGAGAGAGGACGGCATGGAATCGCCATGCTTTTTCTCTTCTTCACCGCGGCGGTTGGTGCCACTTCCTTAGATATATAGATATGTAGATATAGGTATAGTGAAGTCTGTTAAGGTAAAAAGTGTCAGGGGTTGGGGGATGAAGGGACAGAGAGAAATAAAGCAGAAAATTAGTCCCAGAATGAGCAATGCTGTAACATGCAAGTTACTAGTGGTAACTTCGGGGCCTCGGTTTCCTAGGAAAATGAAGTGAAGCATAAGAATGAAACCAATTAGGTGACATTTGAACTTCCTGCCTGAGCAAATTTGGTCTGATTGCCAGAATCCAAGAAGAATACTGCAATTTCCACAGGGTGCCCGACTCCTCGCGGCCGCATCTGATCCCCAAACAACCTTCCCGCAGCAGTGTCTGCAGCCGGCAGCCCCACGCCCTCTTAGGCCTCCCGGGCTGCGCCCCAAGTCCAGCCCCGGCCGCACTCTCCAAGTGAGCGCGCGGGTCTGAGGCTGCCGCCGCGCGAGAGGCGGGGGAGGGTGGAAAATGCGAACCATGTGTTGGGGATGGGGGGATGTTATGGGTCTGGTAGTTTGAGATGAGGCAGTAGACTGTGTGTGGCAAGGAAACGAAGGGCATGAATTTCACGTTAATGAGATCAGGACACCCCTTGGGAGGACTCCTCACGTTTCCAAAGGAAAAAGCCTCAGGTGGTGGGATAGAGGAGGCCACAGATCCTGAGACCCCAGAGAGAGTGTGGAGGCAGGCTCTGTACATCCACACTTTCGGCGCCCGGGCCCTTACCTTGATCGGTGATGGAGCGAATGCCCAGGATGTCAGTGACGGAGTGGGAGGAGGGCCAGGTGCGTGGCATGGCCACCGAGCCGGTGATAGCGGGCACTCCAGGCGGCGTGGGCACCTTGGCGGCTGCCGCCGTGATGGGGCTGGGGTACGAGTAGATGTGGTTATAGGGCAGCGCCGGCTGCGGCGCGGGCTGGTGCTGCTTGTATGAGTCGTAATGACCCTGTTGGGCCAAGTTGCCGATCTTGTTGCGCAGGATGCGGCTGATGGAGCTCACCGAGGGCACGTTGTACTTGTCACAAACGCCATCCGCCAGCAGGCGGTCCCGTATCTCCCAGGCGAAGATACCGGGGTCCCTCTGCTTGTAGGTCCGGATGTGCTTCACCACGGTGGGGGTGGTGACCCGAGGCTTGCTGCCCCCAATGGCTCCTGGCAAGATCGAGCCTGTCTCGTTGTAGCGCGCCAGGATCTTGCTGACGCAGCCGTGAGAGACCCGTAGCTGGCGGCTGATGTCACACGGTCGGATGCCCAGTTGGGCCAGTTCCACTATGCGAAGCCGGATGGCGTTGGGCAGAGGCCTCCCGTTCACAAATACTCCTCCCAGCTGGTTCACCTCCCCAAAGGCTGGCTCTGCAAAACGAACACAGCGCGCACCCGCAGTTTGGGACAGCCGCTTGCCACTCGGCCTCCGCGCGCGTCAGGGGGCAAGGCAAATGAACCCGCCTGAGACTAAAGACCGGGGCTTTCCCCAAACCATACGGTCCCCGAGCCGAGCCGTGAAGAACGGACCCAAATCACTGCGGTCTAGTCAGACCCCTTCCCTCATCCCCGGTCTGCGGCAGCTACAAACAAATAAAGTGGTGAGACGCAGGGCCTCTCTGAGCGTTTAAAAGTCTCCAAAGCAGGCGAGGAAATCGGTCTTGACGCCTGCAAGCAGCTCCTTCTCGCCTACTCGGCGCTAAAGTTCTTGGACCGCTCCCCCCTGAACCCCAACGCCCCGCCTTGAGACCTGCGCAATTAGACAGAGTCCAGGTTTTTTTTTTTTCCTGTTTTGTTTGCGGGTCTGTGAGTATGTGAAACAAAATTTGGTCCGGCACGGGGGCCGCGGGGCTTGCTGATGCCACCGCTCCCTTCTCTTAAAATCAGAAAATGGCATCAGCAGCAAACCAGTAGCCAGCCTTCAGACTGAACTGCTGTGCGCCGCTGACCCTTGGCGTGTTCCTACAACTTGTAGGAACACGAGCAAAGTCAATAAGAAGAGTGCAAGCGCTCAGTGGTGTGCGCCCTCGCGCGCCCTCCCTCCCTCCCTCGCCCGCTCGCTCCCTCCCTCCCTTCCCGGCTCTGACAGCGTCCCCCGCCGCCACTCACCCATTGCTCCGAGCAGTACACCAACCGGGCCCCAATTCCGCACTCCCAGAAAGAAACTTTTCTCGTGGCCTCAGTGGCCCGGCCTGTCGCTGCCCCGGGCCGCCTGTGCCTCCGCTTCTCCCCAGGAGGAGGCGGCGAGAGTGCAAAAGGAAGGAGTAAAAGGAAGTCTGTGCCCCGATGAAAGAGGCTTGAGTTCTGCATTTCAATCTAAGCAGCAACGTGGGCTGGGCTGAGTGGGGCCGGGCGGCTCCGTCTATCACTCACTAGGGACACGCCCCCAAAGAGGAGGGCCGGAGGGCAAGCTGCGTGGTGATTGGCGTGGTCCGTTGAGCGACAACACAGTCCGGGAAAGTCCTTCCGCTGTCTCCTTCAATCTTGCTCTGCACCTGGGTGACTAAATACAAAGAAAAGCGGTGTTTGACACCTTCCCAGGGGCAGCGCAAACAGACAGCAAAATCAGACTGTTAAAAATGCTAAATAAGCAAATGAAAGTGTTTGGTCTGAATATGAGAGACTCGAAGGAGGGAAAGGGTTGAGAACCCTTCTTTGGGAGAAAGAAGGACATCTCAATTTCAGTTAAAACTCTAGGTAGGAGGTGAGCGTCACCGTCACTGGTGGTGGTCGTGAGTGTTCTTAGAATAGCCTGGGCATGCAAGTCCTCGAGGGGCTGTCAGGAGGAGACAGCTGTTACCTGCGGATCCTACTGCACTACAGCCTGTGCCAGGTGGTAAGAGCGCAAATATGAGAAGGTAGGCCGGTCGGAGAGACAAGGAGAACTGGGGGAGAGAACCAGGGATGAAGGCCACTCTGGGGAGGACCCATCTTCCAGACTAACTCCCCACAGCAGTCTCTACAGAGTTCATCCAGGAGCGCGGGGCCAAACCTTAGCCTAGGCTCCAAGCAGGGGCTGCGCCCTGTGCAGAGAACTTAATCACAAGCGGCTAAAGCAAGGGCAGAGCCAACGTGGATCGATTGCCTGTGCATGGGGCACTCTTTCGCGGAGATCAGCACGCCGCTGCGTTCAGCCATGTTGCTGGTCCGCTGGGCCTTGGTGCTAATGATCGTTGATTTCCCCCCACCAATGAACCACTGCAAAGGGTTTTTGTTTAAATATGAAAGAGACTTGGTCCCAAGAAGGTAAACACCGACCCTGCACATGTGATTGCCCGAGTCTTCTAATTAGCTACCATAGGCCCTGCGGTTCTGCCTACTTCTGAGTTTTCACTTTCACTCTAAGTCTAATCTAAAATGTACAGTATTCTTTTTTTGGTGGTCAAAGTTATTCACATTTTGAGTACGGGTTATGGAGAATGCTAATCAAAATGAAAAGCAAGATTGAGGAACACTTTTAGTGAACTTAGGAGTTTGTACTACTTCGGGTCGAGGATACTGATACTGCTATGTGACAGTCGTAACGTTAGATCCTATATGTTTAGGGCTGATTGTCCCACAATCCTGAAGGATGTGTGTGGCTCTGGTCTACACACAGGGAAGCTGACTGGGCCCGGATCCCAGACCACTAAGTGACAAGAGGCTAGGAAAAACTAATGATCACCTGTGCTTTTTGAAAAGAATGGTAACTTCGAGATCCTCACGCTTGGGGGAGGGGCTTGGGGGGAGGAAGCACGCTGTAGGTTCAAATTTACGGGTATGAAGGATTTGAAACATAAAGGAACAATGAATTCAAACATCCTTAATTCTTTACGATTTGATTCTTGTGGAAAGTCCCACAACTAGAAATACTTGAACTTGTCTCCTTTGTTGTTGTTGTTGCTGTTTAGATTGTTTAAAATCTCGAAGTTTGACTTAACAGTGATTTCATCCCGGTCTGATCCCCAATACCTATTGTGTAACACTGTCTGGTGCTTTACAACTCCGAGGTCCTTTGGGAATCCCAGATTTTAAAAGCAGCAGCTCCTTGAGGCTGAGATGCAATATCTGAAGGTAGCATACAATTTCACCTTAGGTTTGTGCGAGGGAATGAACATGCTGGACAGCCTGATCAAGAATACCCCTGATCCCTCATTGACACACACTGTGAGTAGCGACTCCTGGGAGGACTCTGTGTCCAGCTGTCGGGTGCCTAGTGAGCGCTTCGTGAACTGTGCGGGGCTGTGATGTGTTGATAAAAGGCTGTTGCTCTTCTGACTGGCGAGACTCAGTACCGCCATGTGGGTCCGTGCTGTCTATGAGGGCTTTAGCAGTTCTACAGCACCAGCCCAGAGAGACCCAGAGATTCCTATTGTTTGGAGATCTGGCTAGGTGGACCTAACACACAACTCCCTCTCCTTCGCCCCCACCTCCTTCAGCTGCCTCACATTTGCCATACTCTGGAACAGGTCCGCTGCTGCCTCTCCATTTCCACCTGTGGTCGAGCGTGTTCTTGGCTGCGTGGACCTCCCTGCTCTGCGCCCATCGGGTCCCAGCAGGTCCTCATTACAAAGGCGGGTGTAGATCTTCAGCACTCAGCTCAGCGCATTCCCGAGGGTACACGAAGAACCTTGTTTTGGGACACCACCTATGTGTGGCAATAGGAGGCCCAGGTTCCAGGGACAAGAGGAGTCGAAACTTCAGGGGACAGACAGAGGTGTCCAACTCTACAAGAAGGGGCAAATGTAGAACCATCCTGGGGACGGACACTGAGTGCTAAGGCCAGGTAGCCCGAAAACTGATGAGAGACAAGTGACCTGGAGGCGGGAAAGAGGGATAGGGTGAGGGGAGAAAGAGAGAAAAACACTAAGGGCCAGTAAGCCTCGACCATGGTGGATTTCGGGATGCAGAGCAAAAACAGGGGTCAGTTGAGGTCAGCGCCCCCTGGTTACTGCCTTCTCTGGACCCGGGAGATCACACAGAGATCGGAAGAATTTCGATTCAAGAAAGTTAAAACCAAAACACAACCAGTAAGGCCTGCAGCTGACACAGACCGGGGAGAAGCCAAAAGCCCTTCCCAGGACGCTGTCTAGGCCTCCTTTGAGGAGCGACATGTTCTCCGGGTAAATATTTACTCAGTGGGAGACTGGAAGCTGGTGGGGCAGGAGGGTGTGAAGGAGCGGACTACTCCGGGAGGAGAGAATCCGTACCCTCGGCACTGACGGAGACAGACGGATAAACCGGCCTGAGGGGAGCCGGAGCCCGGACTCCAGAGGCGGGCAGGCCCGGGCACGCGGCTAGGGAACTTTAGCCTGCAGTGCGCCTCTGGCTGGACTCTTGCTCTGTCGCTGCGGGTCCAGGCCAGATGCTGTAAAGTCTTCATAAATCTGTCAGCGGTCCCAGTGCCGCAGGCGGTCACCTGCGGCGCCCCCCTCCCGGCACCCGCGGGGTCTGAGGAGAGATGCAAAGAAGGAACAGGGATCTAGCTCCTTCTGAGGCCGCCCTCGCGCGGCCTGGCAGACGGCGACAGGGGACTGCGGAGTTCGGATCGGGGCGCAACAGGCTGTGCAGGGAGCGGGAAGCCCTCTGTTCTCCAGCCTTGACCGACGCCCCGATCTGCTCTACCGGGCGCCTGCCTCCCCAGCTCTGCACGTCAGCAACGACTGCAGATGGCGGGGAAAGGGGTACAGTGTATAGCGAGAGAGGGGTATGTGTGTGCGCGGGAGAGGGGTCCTCCTGTTCCCAGTTGCATTTATGAAGAATAGGGTTGGCTAGAATATTGAGGAGCAGATTCCTCCAACTTCCTCCTGCCGGGAACAGACAGGATCGTGGGTGAGGCCCAGGCGACGGCTCTCGCCTCTCGCCTTGTTTGGGGAGTTCTAGGGATCGAGAGTAGCCAGAGTCTGAGCTCAGAGATGGGTTTTCAGAGCACAGTGATCTCTTCCAGTCGTCTGAGAAGGAATGCGATAGACCTCGAATCCGCACCCCCCCTCCCCGGGAGCACCTCTTCCACGGTAAGTGGAGGATTTCGAGCGGCGTAGAGAGAGAAAGAGGCCGGACTTCTCCAGTCCTCGCCAGACTGCGCTGCCAATGCCCGGGCTGCGGGTTCCATCCCGGATCGGCCCAATGCTACGCCGCAGCCTGGTAGGGTCAGTGGCCGCTCCTCCGCCCACTCGACCTCCCAGCGTTTACTGCCGCACGTGGCAGCCGGAAGCGCACTCGGTGACCAAGGAAAGGGAGGGTCCACCTTGAGGTGCGGGCAGGACCCTATCTGCTCGTGGAGCCGCGGGCAGTGTCGGGGGGCGGCGGCTAGAAGGAAGGGCCAGGGGGTGTGAGAGAGACAGCCCGCAGGGGTCCTCACCCTGAGGTGGTGGTGGTAGAGGGGGGTTAGGGAGGGGACTCCCAGACACTGACCTGCGGGCCTGGACTTGGCGTTGCGGACGTAGCGGGACGCACCAGCCCAAGTAGAGGCCGCTCCCAAGAGGAGCCTTGAAAATTCTCTGAAAGTCGCTAAGTCCTCCCCGCATCCTTTCTGCCTTCCCGCTGATGATGTTCACGGTCCAAGACCCTTTCCCCAGAGGGCCCAGCCCGCGGGGGTCCCGCTAGAGCACGGAAATCCCGCCGCTGGCCTTGGGATCTGCCCCGGGGTTGCGAGCGTTCCTCACCGGCTTTCTCCTTCCGAGGGCAGGGGAGGGGCTTGTTGCCGCCTGAAACCCGCTTTTAATTCTCCGCCTGCCTGTTTCCGATCACCCCGGGTTGGTTTTTCTGTTTGCACACTCCTTCTGTTACAATAAAAACAATCGACATTTCTTTTCAGTTTCCCCATATTAGCGTCACTCAGTCAGTAATTGTTCTCCACCCCTTCCCTCCCCCGCGTTGAAGGCGAACGGGATTGCTCGTACCCTCGCATTGGAAGGTTTCCGAGTATATAAGCAAATCTTTCCTAAAGACTTTAAAGTAAAAATAAATAACGGCCCGAGAAATTGCTGTGACCCTAACATCACTTTCTGAACTCAAATTACACCCATTTTTCAGTTTTCAACAGCGGAATTGCTCTCAGAAGGACGACGCGGAGCCCCATGTGATATGGTTATATTTGTTTATTAAATCCACAAATGGAAGAGAACACATTTTGGGGGCAAGGGGCAAAACCCGAGGCTGCAGAACGGCAAGTTGGATCAAGGATCAGATCCTGGCTGGGGGAAGGGGCAGGGAGAATCCCTGAAGGGATGCCGGCAGAGCCTCCAGCCAAAGGGAGGGGGGTACTTCGCCCAGCCTGGGTGAAGTGTCTGTAGAAGCCAAAGAGCTCGGTGATACGGTGACAGGAGGAAGACGCTTTCCACGGTCACTCTACAGACTTGAGCTGAGGTGGCTCAAGAGATTGCAGCTGCGTGTGGGAAAAACAGGCTTTGGGGTTCTTAAAGACCCTCAGAGTCCGTGCGAGGGCAGTGGGGCTGCCTCCTTCCGAACATCCAATTTGGCTTATGGAAGAGATAAATTCAAACATGGCTGTGCCTGTAAGCCCAGGTTTCGGGTCTCTGGGAAATGCAAATCCTTCGGGTCCCCCACAGTGGTCCAGGTTCTGTTGAACGCAGCGTGATTGGGGTTGCCTGCAGGCTTCAAGGAGCCGGAATCAACCTGCAGGTCAGAGTCTTGGTACTGGCGTGCCTCTGGTTTTCAGTGATGCAGAGAACCGGGGCTAGATCACTTCGCGGTCTCCTCGGATTGCAGGTGGCACAGTGCCCCCGCGAATCGCCCCGGGCCCTGCCCAACTCCACGAGTCCTCGCACCTGGGCAGTGGACACTGTAGTAGGGCTCCCTGGCGCTGTGCTGTCGAGGTGCGGGATTTCCAACCTGTCACCTTCTTCAGATTAATTCCACCACGAACCAGCCCCGCGCTGACCCGAGAACGAAGACTTATGCTGCATCGTCCTCGCTATCACTCCGAAAACAGGAGTCAGGTGTTGGGAGCAGAGAGTTAGGGTGGGATTCACGGAAAATTTCCCGCGGTCTTTGAATTCCTGTTACCTCTCTCCCGGCGGTCACCTCGTCATAGCGCCACCTACAGGTGTCAGATTTGATCGCGCTCCCATAGCAATTTTTGCCAAGGTTAGGGAAGGCCTTTGATAATCCACAGTATTTTGATAGCCCGAAACTTTTAGTTCACCCTCCCAATTCCTCCACTCAAATCTCCGCTGGGTTCCAAATGTCTGGGTTTTCCCCATCATTCTCCAAAGCAAGCCAGAGCATCTGTCTTTTCTTGATTCACCAAAAGCCTGCCTCCACGAGATGCCAGGCTGAATCCTCTCGCGGTTATCAGGAGCTACTCAGGGACACCGGCTGTGAGCTATTTCTGTGCTGGGGCGGGAAAGCTGGAAACTGAGAAAAAGACTCCACGATTGGAAAGAAAGTAATGGGCTCACAATTTTCCAGTTCATCCTACCATTTGCTGAGAGCTCATAATGTCCAAGCACTCACAGTAACCTTACAAATCAGGTATTATTATCTCTTCTGTTTTAAAAGCAGATAAAACAGAGACTTGGATTAAATAAGAGCACACAAGACACTTAGATTAACATGTTGATCGCCCACCGTGGACCGGGTGCCCCTGAGGAAACCCAATCGTCACCCGGATTTGGGTGCCTTGGCGATCAACGGTTAAAAGAGATCACATGGTTAAATGGACCAGAGTGTGACCCCACTATGCCCTCCGCATTGCCCTATTATGCAGGAACAGCTCTCGCTGAAGCCCCAAGAGAAGCCCCTTTACCGTAGGTGTCTGCACGGATAGTGGGCATTCCCCTTACCCACCTCCACCACCTACGAGAGAGAAACCCGCCTAAGGCCACACTGAGGGCCTGAGGCAAACAGGACTTGCATCCGACGGCACCTCACTATGGGCACAGACTCTAGGGTCTGTAGACTCCAGGTCGAAACTGACGGGGCGAGGGCGGGAAACTCGATCAGGCTCGGATACGTTCACTGGCCCAGGCTACCCCAGGGTATGGAGGCGTGGGCTGCAGCGACCATGGGGACCTGCAGCTTCCCCCAGGAGCGCGCCGCGGTGGAGCGGCTGAGAAAGGGGCACTGCCAAGTACCAGGAAGAATCCGGAATGAGCTGCTCTTCGCTGGTATTTGTTCCCAGTTGTCCGGAGGTGCCGATCTGGCTCCCTGTGCGCTCTCATATCAACCGATAGGCAAAGAAATCCACGTTTGTCTTTCTTGGGAATTCATTCTGGTGTATGCCTGTGAGTGTTTCTCTTTAAGTCCATTGTAAGTGGGGACAAGCCAGGAGAAGCCAAGATGCAATAAAATTAGAACCCGTAATTAACACAACTAGCTGGGCCCAAGTGCCTCGCTCCCTTGCCAGAGTCGGGCTACAGTAAGGTTTTCCTTGCTCTGGCGTTTATCTTGGAGTCCGGCTCAACTCTTTTGGTTATCCTAGATTCAGCGGAGAAATAAATGATTTCATATTTAAAACTCTATAATGATAGAAGGATTTCAGCGCACCCTGGGAGAGGCGGTAACTCAGAGAAGAGAAAACCTCCAGGTTGTTAGGGGCAGGGATCACTTTTACTGATTTGGAGAAATGCTCTCTAGCTGTGGCCCGCGCGGAATTCGCTCCGTCGTTGTCCCTTTAGTGGGGATTGGGCAAGGGGGGAGGGAGGAGGGGACGCCTCCCAGTAGGGCACCTGTACTGCGAAATCCCAAGCGAACGTTTTAGTGTTTGAAGGGAAACTGCAATCCACACCAGGATCTGGCCTCCTGAGTCTTGGCTGGGGTCACCAGAGCGCTGCAGGGCCGGAGGAGCCTGACTCTGTTCTTGCAACAAGGGCCGGTATTCTAGAAATCTGCAGAGTGGGTCCTACAGCACAAATCTTCCTGGCTGTGCTGGGTCCTCCCTGGCACTGGATAGGATCAGATAGGCCCCTCCACTCGAACCCTGTCTCCCCAAGAGACACACATGCTGCGTCCAGGGAGCACTCTCCTTTCCTTCCTTCGACCAGCGAGAGGGGTGGCCTCCCACCTCCTCTGCAGCGGCTGTGGCATTTGAGACAAGTTGTATGCCGAGGCAGTGGGAGCAGAGAGGGTAGTCACCTCTCCACAGACAGGACTGGAGGGTAGTTCTGAAGAAATTGTGGAAGGACCCAACAATGTGGTTTTTAGGGGGTACATAGAGGCTAAGGAAGAGAAATATAAAACGGAAATAAACCTAACCTCCCCGAAGCATCTCTTTTCTAGGCCAAAAGAGATAAAACAAGGTACATCTTTGTGGAGTAAATGAATTTCTTTCTTTCTTTTTTTTCCCCCAGAAGAGAATGAGAGGGGGAGAAAATTACTAGCTTTATATGGTTCATTTTCTTTTTTATTCAAATGAAATGTTTTTAAATTAATATAAATTATTCCAAATTATTTTTCAAGAAAACCCAAGTAAGTGCTGTTGTACATGTATGTCCTTTGTGCAGACGTGAAAATTTTTTTTAAGATCTTTAATGCTGTAAGGAGTTTGCATGTCTAAAAGCTACTCACACTTTTTTTTAAAAATGTATAGAAAAGTGTTTAAGCACATATCTTAATTATGTAAATCTACTTTGGTAGGGCACTTAATAAAAGTCATTTTTTGTAAATCTTAACAAAAATCATTATAATTAATGAAGATGGGTGTAGGAAAGGAGAAAAAAATTCTTGAAAGGAGAATTTAGGAAAATAAAGAAGGGTTTTTAGGCAATATCAACCATTTGGATTTAATCCCAATCCCTACAGTTTTCTGTTATTTCTGTTCTTACATATAAAGGCATTACACTTTTGGTTGTGCTGCTGAATCATGTCTAGCTTCTAGGTTTAGTGGCAGCAGGGAGAGTAGGGGAGAGGGTTGCAACCAGCAGAGATTAACACCAGAATTGCTGGGCCAGGGTCTTAGGTATAATGTGGAGGCTACAGCAGTGCAGCTGCCATTCTCAACTCCCAGGGTATAGAGGATTGGGAAAACAGGCTGGTTCCATTTTTTGCAGAATCAAGATGAGAGCCCATGATAGTGGCTGGTCTGGAAGCCACTTCTTAGGATAGAAAGCCAAGGTCATGGCACTAGGGGACCTTTAAAAAGCTCCCTAGAACCTTCCTATGGGACCAGATGTGTGAATCTGATGTTCTGGCGAGCTGACAACCCAAATTCTCGTAGCAGTTTTTATTGCCTGAGTGATTCCTGTACAATTCCCTGTGGGATTGCATTCTGCCTAGCTGCATGGTTCTGTTCTTGGAGACACCCCTTTCAGTGGGGGGAGAAATAGTGATCCCATTACTCAATGTGAAAAACCTTCAGTGATGCCAGTTTAAAGCTAAATTTTTAAACCCCTGAAAGTCAGGAAATAGAAAAGTTAAATTTCGTTGGGTTAATACGGGTACATTTACAAGCCTCCCCAGCAAGGCCAACCAGGCACTGCCACTGCTGGGTTTAAAGGGAGAGGCTGTAGCACCACTTGACTGGGTAGATTTTCCATTTGCAGTTCAAACGTTTCATGCCAGTAGATTTCAGTGGATACTTGATATAGGTGAAAGTACTGCACTGCATTTATTAGTAAATGGGTTTAAAGAGTAAAGAAGGCAAATTAACTTGTAGGTAACAAAAAGCCAACTCAAAACAAGTTAGAGACATGCTATAAATGTTTCCATTCCTCTGAGATCTTCCAGATACTAAATCCAGAGAGTTTTATCATTCTAAACCAGCTCTGTGCATTTCTTCAACTCTGATATAAAATGAAGTCCTCAAATGGTAGTTGATGTGAGTACGTAGGTGTGTTCCTCATCATTTTCTCAATTTTTAATTTAGAACTAAATATGTGTGTCTAGCCACACTTTTCCCCAAGAGAATATACAGTAGAAAGATATGCTATTTAAATTCTGTGCTCTAGTTTCAGATTTTGCTAAGTTATGTATGAGTTATGACTCCCAGAGTCTCCTCCAAATTTTCTTCTTTCAGTGGAAGAGTAGACAAAAATGGTGCATGAATTTTCCTTTGGAATCAGACTTGTTATACATTTTAGCTGTGAAACAAACAAACAAAAAAGACTTTCTCATGGGCTCTCTGTGTCAAAGAGAACCCAAAAAGGGCAAACAGAAACTAGTGGGTTAACTTTGTAGAGTTTTTTGTAAAATGAACTACAGCTTCTGACCACACAATATGTGTGTTTCAACTACTAAGTCACTTAAGAGTCTTTTGAGATGAAGGTATTAGGTATAGTGGTGGCATAATTATTTCTATTAGAGCAAATTAGTCCCACTGGGGAAAATGTACCCCTGGGGTAAGGCATATATTGAATTATATAGGAAGAGTGAATAACATACACTTGGATGATGCTACAAAAAATACTTTTTTTTTTCTCACAAGGGAACGTTTCTTGTGTCAGTAGAAATGATGAGGGCGAAGCTAAGCAGTCTATACATGTCATCTATACTGAATTCAAGGCAGAATTTGGGATTTCACAGTTATATCCCCTAGCTGTCCAAGAAAATCTTCAAATATATTTGTAAGCCCCTTGCCCCCACCAAAAGCATACTTCTTATTATGTAGTTAAGCCTTAATGAACCAGATCACCCAGGTAAACAAGTGTGGGTGAAATTTGTAGGAGCACATAGCATATTGGGAACATTTTCTAATGACCTGCATGTCTTTAAATAGAGGAGAATATAAGAAAAAAAAGTGTACATAATGTGTTCTCCTTTTACAATATTTTTGACATGAAAACTTTTAAAAAGTCCACTTGGGTAATTTTCATGCCTTTCCCAAATATGGTATAAGGGAGAGCTCCGAAGGGTGAATTCAAATGGTTGCGTCTTTAGTAATCAAACCTCCCTGGCAAATACTTTAATAGAGCCTAAAGGAGATGATTTGTGTGACTGTGAAGATAGTATGGAGAGTCTAAATGACGTTTGTTGGTTGAAGAATAGTTATTTTGAGAAGGAAGGTGAAATACTTTTGTTATTGACTAAGTGAGACACTTTCTCCTTTATATCACCCATTTAAGGCATCTAGGAAAAGCAAAATGAATGATGAGATTAACAGCAGAGAGATATGAACATTATAAAATATTTTCACTGCTGTTGTTGTTGCTACAATGCATATTGATAATGTATTTGTGTATGTGTGTATCTCAACAGGTAAATTTAATGAACTCAATTATAAGAAAAATTTGCCAATTTATCTCTGAATAAGTTACCTCTTATAACTTCATGGGCTTTTTGAAATTGTCCTAAGCTGGAAGTGCTGAATTTAGATCCCTTATTTGCTTCTGAAGTCCAGTAGAGATACTCTGTTCAGCCTCTGGGCTGCTTTGTAAGTCCACACGTCTTTTTCTCCTACCCTTTTTGGAAGTCAATGCTAAACTGGGGGAAAGAGAATCTTTCTTTTGATGCCTGGCATCACTGTGCCTGGGAGTATGAAATAGTAACTCAAATTACGGGAACTTGTACCCACCAACTAGGAAAGGCTATGGACACCAGGAGAGTTTGCCCTTTAATTAGTACTGAATCCTATACTTCTCTCTCTCTCTCTCTAACTCCATCTCTGTCCCTTTCTCCGATAAACTCCTTTTCTCGGTCTCAAACACACACACACACACACACACACACACACACACACACACACACACTTGCTTATACACTCCCTGGAAGAAAGCAACATTTTTCATAAGATTTTGATTTTTAAAATGTTCTTTTCTAGTTAAAATTCCATGAAATCCCTGAAATATTTTAAGGCACACCAGGAAACTAAGCATAACATTACCAAGATGAGTTCCAGTGAGGTCATAAAGCAGTTAGCATTCTTCATATTAGATTCCTAAACCACCATAAATGCATATATGCCTGGATCTATTGAAGCTTATATTTTAAACAATCCATGAAAAGTATATCCAGACCTTTACATGTTTAGGAAAAATTAACATGTGGCTAACACAGGGTCAATCTTTGCCATATGTACTTACTCACAAATCTCTTTGCCCTAAAAGCAGGTAGATTGACCTTAGTATGAACAGCATTAGGGGGACATGGGCTTCAGTCAATCCAAAGTGGAGTTTGGGGAGATGAGAAGCTGCTCAAAATTGTCACTGTTTTGTGGCTGATTCTTTCTTTGGTCAATGGTGTAAGTCCACACATACTGTTGTATCAGAAATAATGATGACAGAGCTCAGGCTGGCTGTCTCTTGGAGCTTTCTTGGAACACCAGTTTGGGTTCTTACCTGCAGAACAATTCTAACTGCTGACCTGTTAGGGCAGTTGCGTTCCTTTAAACTCATGATTTGCGGGGGTATTATTCATCCATCCTCTCAGTACAAGTTGATCATTGAAGACAATTCAGTCCTCAGGTCACAAGCCAAATACTGCGTGGCTATTTGCCCCTCCCTCTTCTCTCCCCCACCCATCCTCTACCTCCTTTTCAGCTGCTTCTCCTTGTGTCCCTAGAATGCTATTTGTAAAACAGCAGCAGGCTAATGTGTGCTCTCAATGCGGATTTGGAACTATTGGGGGGGGAGTGTAGATACAAATTTATTTATTTTTAATTGAATTATAATTAACTTACAATATAATATTAGTTTCAGATGTACAGCATAGTGATTTGATATTCTGTACATTACCAATTCATCACCATCATAAGTATAGTTACCTTGTGTCACCAAAGTTATTACAATATTATTGACTATGTTCCCTGTGCTGTACATCACATCCCTATGACTTATTTTATGACAGGAATTATGTGCTTCTTAATCTCCTTCACCGACTTCGCCTATCTCCCCACCACTATACCAATTTGTCCTCTGTATCAATGAGTCTGTTTTTGTTTTGTTTTGTTCACTTGTTTTTTAGATTCCACCTGTAATTCAAATCATACAGTATTTGTCTTTCTCTGTCTGGCTTATTTCACTTAGCATGATACCCTCTAGATCCGTCCATGTTGTTGCAGATGGCAAGATTTCCTTCTTTTTTTATGACTGAGTAATATATATATATATATATATATATATATATATATATATGTGGCTCAGTATTATATTATATTCCTTCTTTTTATGGCTGAGTATTCATATATATATGAGTAATAAAATTATATAATATCACATCTTTATCTGTTGGTCTATCGATGGACACTTAGGTTGCTTCCGTATCTTGGCTTTTGTGAATAATGCTGCAATCAACATAGTGGCACATACATCTTTTCAAATTAGTGTATTGGAGTTTGGGGGTGGAGGGGTGAGTAACCAGACATAGAATAGCTGGATGGAATGGTAGTCCTATTTTTAATTTTTTGAGGAAAATCCATACTGTTTTCCATAGTGGCTGCACTTGTTAGGCTTCTCATGCACAGGTTAGGGAGCAAATACTCTTTAACAACTGTTAATGGTATCTCACAAAATCTTCCAAAGAGGAATGGCTCTCCTTCCTTACTTGAACCCAGGATATGTGCTAAAAATGGATGGTCGAACGCAAAACATTGCATTGTTATCATCATTTCTACAGTAATATTTACAGAAAAGAACAGGATGTTAATTTCACTGCTTTATTTGCAGGGATGAAGGTCAGTGTGTCAAACTGCAGATCTTGGGTCTGCAATAATGGGCTACTGTGTCTCACCTCAACTTCTTTTCCCCACTTATAGGAAGGAACAAAATAAAATGTTTTGTGGAAGTTTATATTGAAATGAGGTCAGGTAAACTAATGACTGGTATTTTATGACAAGTTTTATAACCTTGGAGTTGCCATAACTTCCAAACGATCATCAATAAAGTTTTATTGCGAAAGGGTCGCCATGTGTCTGAATGTTTTTGCACACAGTAAAGGCTGGCTGCCCCATTGGCTAAGCTCACCAGCCCCTCTCACCCTAGTCATAAAGTCTTCCTCTTTTTATTGAAGGTTGAAAAATCCTCAAGTCTGTGCTACCCCATCAGGTTGCCAATTCAAGGATTACGTGGAAATTATTTATTCGTGATTAAATAATATATAGGGCTAAACTTGCAAGAATATGTAATGAGACTTCTAAAATTAGATTTTAAACGAACTCAGTGAAATAAATGACTGGGGTGGGGGGAGGGGGTCTGACAATAGTTTACTCCAGAAACAGGTCTTTGAATGCTAGGCTACAGATATCTGCATACCTCAGAGGGCAGCCATTAAGTAATTAGGTGCTCAGGGATGGACAATGGTTCTCAAAGACAAAGCAACAAGTCACTTAAGACTCCTCTAGCAGACAGAGGATCTTAACGATTTAGGAGACCTCGTATTTCATCCTAACCTGAATTGTTTCAAAGGAGGGAAAGAGGATTGAACTGGGACTCTTGCTTGCAGGGTTACTCCCAAACACACTCCCAGAAGCGCTCCCTAGGGTTGAACCAAGAACTCTCAATGTCTAATCCACACCGTCAGTTCTCAGGTTCAGGTTCAAGTCCGCCTACACTAGCGCTTCCTCGTCTGCTGTCAACTACTACGTGGAAATGAAGCCGAGAATAATACCCTGCGATTTGGATGAAGAGAGCTGTAACAAAAATTGTACAAAACGAAGCCTCTGCTGTATGATCTCTTTAGAAGCAATTCTCCTTGAGGCGATAGTTGTGACCCTGGGAGAGAGTGGCAGGAGTGCTGTCGGAGTGGTGGCAGAAGAGGCAAGACGAAACCTGGCAAACTGGCTGCACGCACTTGACCCATCCCGGGACCTGAGTTTAAGAGTCTGCCCCGGAGTCGAGCAGACCCCTGGGTGGGAAGGCCCCCTACTCCTGACATTTTCATACCGACTCGTGCAGATCCTCCACCCCAGCCATCCCCAATTTGCGCGGTTGCTCTGAGGAAGGGGTTGGTGAATATCGCCCTCTCCCGGATCCCTGAAAACTCTCCCCAGCCAGCTGAATCCGCTCCTTTCCAAGTTCGGCGTCCTGCATGCGGGACCTCTAGCCCAAGGCGTCCGTGCCCGCTGCGAGTCCCCTTTCCCCAGGCCGAGGACTCCAGTCTCGGATCCCGCACCTGGGCCTCGATCTGCGGAGGTGAGAGGGCCCAAGCCCCAGCTGGAACCCATAGCTTGGCCGCGGAGCTAGCGCGTCCACGCGCGTCGGTCCTTCCTGGGCAGTGCGCGCCAGACCCTGTTCCTCTCCGCTTTCTGAGCGCGGTCGCCGCTGCGTGGCCCAAGCACTGAGTGCGCCGCAAGAGGGAAACTTTGCATACCTTCTAGAATTTAGAAACTTCCTGCTCTGAAACTCTAAAGATGAGGGTCTCTTTACGGTGTTTGGTGGCCACTGCGAGGGGGTTTGGGGTTCCCCACAACAGAGAATATCGTGAGGAAGTTGATTCCCAGGCATTAGCCTAGGTCCTCCCTTGGGCGCTCCCACGAAGGCACCAAGAGCAGTCATGGCCTAACAAGTGGCTTTGAGGTCATCAGAACGGGAGCGTGCCCAGATCAAGGGCTCGAAGGAGCCAGACCCCGGTGCGCCCTCTATGCGCCGGGAGAGCCGCACGGTGGGGTTCCGATCGCTGTGCACCAAAGCTCAGAGCGCCGGAGAAGCCGCGCTGCTGGGGTCCAGCCGCCGGCTCTCTCCATCTGGTGTCTGTGCTGCCAGAGTTCCGCTGGCGAGAGGCAGGCTGCCGTGGCGCAGTGACGGGCGGTGGCGCCATCTCCCGAGGAAACCTCGCAGCAAGTGAGGCTCCCCAGGTGGCCCGCGCCTCGGCTACTTCAGGGTAGCACACGCGCCTCTCTTCCCCTAGTCCTCGCGATTTCCCCAGATAACTCCCGGAAATGCCCCCAGAACTGCCTGTGGTAACAACCGCTAAGCCTTTGGTCGGTGTCCTCTCCAAGTGGTGAAAGGAAAGTCCTAGCCACCCCGCACCCCCTATCCCGGGATGATCTACACGCACCCATGCAGGCACCCCGGCTCCTGGGCTCCAGTGCCCCTGCCTGGGGAAGGCACAGAAGGCTGAGCCTCCCTGGGACATGACGGCTTGTGTCAGCTACCTAGGGATATAGGAGCCTCCTCACGTCCACGAGAGCCAGGTCTTCTAGACTCCAGCAAGAAATAGGAGGAGGTGACTCGAGATGGGGGTGTCTTGGGAACCCCTTAAGGCAGGCTCCAGGTTGCTGTGGGTCCTGCGGTCTGGAGGGGATCCAGCGCTGCTTACCGGACTTGAGCAGAGCCAGCCTGTCTGCGCTCATTTCCACACCCTCCCCGGAGACTGGACGGCCTCTCTCTGCACCACCAGGGGAAGAGAGAAAGCTTTTTCGTTTCCATTTCTGCCGACAAGGTTAGAAATTTTTGAAAGTAACGTTTTTAAAAAGAGATTAAGTCACAAGGTGGGAACAAAACACTCATACAGAAAGAACAGCTTTCAGTTAGGTTTGCGATGTCAATTACAGACACACACACACACACTTTCAGCGGCACACTATTCCTGGGTTCCTTTCTCTGACTTCATCCTTGCCTCATTTTAAAAACGTGGGTGTCTCTGTTAGTGAGCACTGGTCTCTTGAGTGGAACCATAGCAGAGTAGTGGTCATTTCTCTTTACACATTAGTAGCTACTGTAAGCTCATCTTATTAAAATTAACCAAGGATGGCTGTGAAGGGAGAAGCTCAAGGTGGAATACAGGAGCCGGATCCTCCCATCCAAGTTATGTTTAGTGAACTGCTCAGCATCATGTTCTTACTGTAATGATCTTGCCATTTTAATGTTGGCCTGGGGAGGTGTTGCTGCCTTTTTAAAGCTCTGGCCCAGGGGCCATAGGTACCCATTCTCATTAATGTAGGATGGCACACTCATCTATACAACACATATTTATTGAGCATCTGCTATGTCAGGCACTGGGCTAGGTGCCAGGGGTAAATGACAAAAACAAAAACAACAACAACAAAAAACATGGCCTCATAGCTGGACCATTTGGCTGATAAAATACTGCTCTCAGCTTGGGATTCTGTACCGGGTTGACTGCTTCCTCCTGGCAAAGGCAAATTTTCTTTTCCCTCCCCAGGTGTCCTCAAATACATATCCTTTTTGTAAGTCAAGGAGAGGGAGGCCACAAGACAAGTGAATTCTCCAGCCAAGCTGAAACCTAGCTTCCAAATTCCTGAACCCAGGTGGCTGATGACCTACCTCTTGCTTAGGTGATTCACCCAAAATGGTGTGGTCTTTCTTTATAGCTTCAATAAGACAATAGTACCAAAAGCAGTGAGATGCCCAGACAGAAAAAGACCCCAAAACGGTGACAGGCAGCTGGTTCCTGTTATCACAGAGCAAACCCTGCACATGCTGGTACCAACCCACCAGGACAGGAGCACCTCCCTACTCCTCTCCCAGCTTCTCTCCCTTCCTCTTTCGCTAGGGCAAAGGACAATTCCCACACTTACGTGTGCAGACTTTGATAGCTTACTGAAGATGTTCCACGGGCCCACCCAAACAAAGATCTGCAGGAGACCTCTGGACCCTTGAACATGGAATTTGGAAAACCTCTAAGGACCAGCCAATATGGGAGGCTCTGGACAAGAGGCATCAGCTTCCCCGAAGAGCCCTTCTCCATAGGGAGCCACAGGGTTGTGGGGGGTTTGACTCCAGGATTCATTCTTTGAAACTTTCCCCACCATTCTTGTTAAGAAGCCTCACTTCCTGCCCCTAAATGGAAGCCAAAAGCCACAAGCTTTTGCAAGGTCAATAAATATAATTTCCTTTTTTGATAAGGCTGCTAGAATGAGGGAATGCTAATATCTGACATTTACACATTTTGTAGTTTTGTAAAGCACTTTTTACACATGTTATTTCATTTATTAATCTTGATAAGTTTTGGTAATATACATATAGGGAATCTGAGGCACAGAGAAACACAGTGACTTTTATTGAAAATAGAAGGTAGCAAAGTATGTGCAGCTATAGATTTATATTTCGATAGGGCATTTGACCAAGTTCTTTATGGCAACCCTGGGGCTGAGAAACAGAAATGTGACCTTGGTGATATAATTGGTGGAATGTATCATTCACTAATTCATTGCTCAAAATAAACAGTTTTTCTTTTAGGCATATTCTGTGTGTTGGGAGCTCGACTCTAGACTGGAAATACAAAGATAGAGAAGCCATTGTCCTAGGGAGCTCACAGTTGAGTGAGGAAAGAGACATGTCAAAATATAATAGGCAATAATGTAATGTTGATATGGAGTTAGACACACGGGAATGCAAGAGGGCACCAAAGGGTGGTCTTGCAGACCTGTTGACACGCTCTCAGGTTTGTGGAAAACATGATACTTAGAAAGGAAAAGAAATCTGAAAGAAGTATACAAATACAATTATATTTATATAATAGTTATAATAATAACAGTATAACCAAATATACAACCAAATTATACAAAAATTATTATAACTATACAAAAATACCTTAGACAAGAATAATTGACCAGAACTAAGATTAATAAATATGTGATAAGTATAACATTCTATGTTCAGATACAAAATAATCGCACGAATGTGTGAAGGGACTGTCAGGGATGGCAGCATAATTAAACTCAAGGCCTGTGGTTAATTACAAGCTTGACATGAGCCTAGAATGTTGATATTTGTGGCTTATGCTAAAGAATTAGAGAATCTAGCATAAACGTGATTGTTCTGCTCCATGGGAGTTGGAACATTTCTCAGTTTTGGTCTCCACACATTTAAGATGGAGGTTGACAACAGGACTGTATGTGCGAGGGATGCCACTGGGATGATGAAAGACCTTAGACAAGTCTAAGAATGGCTGATGGAACTGGGATTGTTGATAGAGACCAGAAGATTCAGGAAAGAAGGCATGGCTGTCCTCAGATACTTGAAAGCCTGCCATATAGAAAAGATGTTGAACTTGTATCTGTCAAAGGAGCAGAGTCAAGGCTTTCCCAGTTGGTAATCCAGAGGTTGATGAAGCAAGCCATCCTCTATGAGTTTGACTGTCCTTTCCTGGTAGATGCTCCATGAATGTAGGGACCATATCTATCTTGTTCACTCGGTAATCCCAGTGCCTTACTCTAGAGGGCAGTCAATGAAATTTTGTTATAGGAACAAATTAAAAATGAATTCTTCCATGTGGCTCCAAAGGACATACCTGAGACACAAGGGCAAAAGTGTAAAGTCGGGTGACAAATGAAGTCAACTAATTTGGCTATTAATTAGGACCATCAATGTAAGTAAAGATGCATGATTCCAATTTTTTATTTCAACCAGCAGCACTCACTTGTTTAGCAAGGAAATTCTATTACCCTTAAATTTTTTCCCCATTAGGGATGTTAATTAAAGTGGAGATAAATGGGCCTCAATGGCCCTTGGTTGGCTTTCTAGCTCCTTGATAACCAGAGGACACACCATTACGTAGACTCTTCTTGAGAATGAGAGGAACATAAGGAAGGCCTGGATAAGCTTTTGTTTGTTTTCAGCTGTGATTCTGACCTGTAAGCAGTGGTCCCGAGAGTATCTAGGTCATTGAGGGAAAAGGTTGTTTAGTTTGCCTTTGTTCTCTGTTAGTTCAGTGGGTTTCAAACTTTTTAAAAAGGGACTGCTTGCATATTGTGTAAAAAAAGATAGCAATAAAATGCTGCTTCTGGAACTGCAGAAGAACTGAGTAGCCCTAGGGTCCTGGAGAATTCAGTCTCTAAACCATGGGCCAGTTTTACTCCAGATGTAATGACATGTGCCCTGACCACCACAGTATGGAATTCAATTTGGGTAGAATGAACTTCTAGTTCTTGTCAAACCCTGTTGATTTTTAACTCATCAGCTATACATTGCTGTTTTCACTATACTGGTCTTTATTCAGAGCGTTAGCAAATAGCTTCTCCCTTAAACTAGATATGTTACTGTTGGTCAGCAGAACTTGGAGGCTTGCTGGTTCTTATAGCTATGAGGTCAGAGGAGAGACAATGAGGAATGCTCCTCAGATGCCAAGGGATGCCAAATCCCGGACTTCAGAATGCTCACTTCATTTCTCCATCCTACCAAGGTCAAGAAATGTGTCAGACATCAACCCCTCCATTGTCTATCCCCTA